ATGAATCATAATCATAATTAATTGGCTATGCAAATGCAGGATTTTTATCAGATCTGCATAAAAGCAAGTCTCAAGCAGGATATTTATTTATTTCTAGGGATACAACTATCTCATGGCATTCAAACAAACTTTATTAGCTACTTCATCAAATGATACAGAAATAATTTCAATTCATAAGGCAAATCGAGAATGTGTTTAGCTAAAGTCAGTTATTCAACATAGTCAAAAAATGTGTGGCTTTTAATTAGAACAAAAGATTCCAACAGTGTTATATGAAGATAATACAATATGCATAGTTCAATTAAAATAAGGATATGTCAAAGGAGATAGAACAAAACATATTTTTCCAAAGTTCTTCTCCACTCATAATCTTTTGAGAAGTAGTGATATAGATGTTCAATAAATTCGCTCATATGACAACTTTGCTGATCTGTTTAACAAGACACTGTCAACAAAAACATTTGAGACGTCGATGTATGGTATTGGAATGCATAGACTTAAAGACATAGAATGATATTATCATTAGGGGGATTAAATAATGTGTATTCTTTTTTCTTTACTAGGTTGTTGTCCCAATGAGTTTTTCCTTATAAGGTTTTAATGAGGTACAATGCTCGTTATAGATATCCAAGAGGAAGTATTATGAATATTGCATGAATGGACGCCTATAACCCCTAACTCTTAGAATTCTCAAGGGATTTTTTATTTTCAAGTGTTATAAACTACATAACCTCCCCAGTAAATGACTTAGGAAGAGTTTCTCATTGTTAATCCTATTATAGTATTATTTATTTTTTTGTAATCTTATTATAGGACTTCAATGCATGGAGGCCGATAAACAGAGGCCATGTATAAAACATTTGTACCATAAAACAAAATGAATGAGAAAAAAGCCATTGTTTTCTCTATTTCTTGTTTTCCTTTTTACTCTATAGTTTTCTTATTTCTTCTCATTTTATAACTTGTATATAGACACACACACCTCATTTTTCATAACATATATATATATAGATATATTCTTCTAGTCTTATTTATAAAATACTTTTTATCATGTCTTATCAAAACCAAAAAAAATTAAATCTCATTAACTCTAGCTTAAAATTTAATAATTTCTTAACTTTATTATAACCTAATATATATTTTTAAAAAATAACAGTTTATACAACAATTAAATTAAGCGTAAAATTTTAAATTCGTATAATAAATTTAATAAAAATGATTTTGTATCAAGGATAAAAAAAGTATTTTTTTTATAGGATCAAAATGGCATGCCTGTGTATATAATGTCATATAAGTCTCATTTATAATTCATAGAATTACATGTTTTGAAAGAATTTTTTGTTCTAAATATAAGCCAATTTAAAATATATTTGTTGCGTTATCTTAAATGATTAATATAATACTATAATTTAACGTATTTAATGAAGATAATGATGGTTATGGAAAAAAAATAATTTTTTTACACGGTCAAACTAGCTTTAAACTCTTCTTTTAAGATTTTGACCCAAAAAAAATTCTTTTTTTATAAATAATATGGTGAAAAGTAACTCATATTAAAGACATCTAGAGGAATTATTGGCCAAAAAAAAAAACATACACATAGAGAAACTCTATATGTTTATTAATTTTTTTTAAAATTAGTCTTATTGATATTTTTCTAACAATACTCAAGTAGGAGAAGAAAAAAAAATGAAAAAAAAAACTTAGGATATTTTAAAATAAATATATTATATTAACTACTTTAACTAATATTATTAATTTATATAAATTAATTAATTATGGTTTACATTAAGTACAACAGGGTATAATGGTAGCCACATAAATAGGTGTGTCAAATTCGGGTCAAATCACTGAATCCTCACGATGGACGCACCACGCGATCGAAGAAAAAATGAGAGGGAGGGAGAAAAGTAGAAAACTGAAAAACTTTCAAGTTGGAGCGAGAAATGTGAGAGCGAGGGACCTCCTATTTAAGGGTTAAATAGACCATAATTTAGGAAGATAGAATCTCTGTTTATCATGAAATTTTTCCTATTCAAATTTTAGGAAATGTTTATTTCTAGCACCTCAAATTATATCATGAAGGGAAAATGCTGATTTGATTTCTTATTTGACTAAAATTTTCTATTTCATTATCAAATAGTCCAGGTCGAACCAACCAAATGCAGACCTAAAACTCAAAGTCCAACAAAAAGGGGATGTAACTGGTAGCTGGGTTTCATCGATAAAGGGTTGAAAGTTTATACATAGGTCAAAATTCAAGAAAATTTTGTGTAATTCAACCTAATTTTTTTTAATAAAGACATAGCGAAATGAACTTATTATAAAATATAATAGGGTTAATATAATTTTTTATCCTTGATATAAGCCTATTTTAATTTTGGTCCATCAAATTTCAAACACATGATTTTAGTCTCGGAAATCTAGTCCATCTTCAAATCTTAGTTCCTAGAGATATAGCAGTATTAAAATATGCTAAAACATTATAAAAGATGTTAAAGTGATTATACAGAAGATCAAACGACACGTAGTTAAATCTTATATGGATAGTAGGAAAAAGGGAAAAAAACAAGTAATCAAAATGTAAAGCAAAGAACGTTCATATATAAGGAAAATAAGTTCTCAAAACATAGCATAGTGAATAATTTTTCAAACAAGCAACAAGAAAAAGGGGGGGCTAAACAACTATATTTTGAGGACTTGTTCTTGTTTTTTTAATCCCTTCTTATGCATATAAGATTAGATAGGTGATATTTGGTGAGTCTATTTAACCACTTTAACGTTATTTACAACAATTCAACAAATTTTAACACTATTATAAGATTAACGTTTTAAGACAAACAAAAATTCAACTATCAAAACTATGGATTTGAAATTTGAGGGATCAACACTAAAAAAAATCCAAACTTCAAACACAAAAAATTTTATTAACCCCATATAATATCATAATATGATTGGGAATTCAAAGCAAAATACTTTTATATAAATTATATTTATTTTTTAAAAAAAGTTAAACGTCTTTATTTTGTTTGAACTAGCATTTACTCTGTCATACCGTTTAATGTTGGTCAGATATAGTGATTGATTCTTATGGATAGCCTATTTATTGCTAGATGTTTAATTAAGAAAAATGAAAGTACTTTGGCAAAAAAAAAAGAAAAAAAAGAAAAATAAAAGAACTCTTTTTTCGGACCAGGGGCCAGAGACTGAAGGGAAACTCAACTAACGCGGGTGGTATCCAAATAGCTCGAATGTCCTAAAAAAATGAAAGAACTCTAAACCTTGTAAACACAACACAGTTTTTTTTTTAAAAAAAAAAAACAGAGAGAAAAGTTAAAATGACTCAACAAACGAGATGGTACCTTACGCATAGATGCTTGACATTATGGGGACAACATATATTATGGTATGGGAAAGTCAAAAAGTCAACAATCCCTTTTTTCATGTTACCCTACAAAGGCAAGATTCCTTCCATTGCATATTCTTTTGATGATTAATTAAATTAAATTACACCGCCCAAATTTAATTTAAATAATTTAAATTCATTATTTTTAATAATCGCTGTATTAAATATTAACACAAGCAAATAAACTTTTAACAAAATTATTATTGTCTTTGTAATATTAGTTGGTTTATGAAAAATCAAATTGGCACTTGATTATTTTGAAATCGAGTTTAATTCAACTCCATAAATATAAATTTTTATTAAAATTAGATTAAATACAATAAATTGAAAAGAGCAAAAAAAAAGAAAGTGAAATACAAGACATGTGACACTCATTCCAAAGAGGATGGGTTCCTGCCATTGCCACTACAACGCACATGAATTCATTCTAACCATGTGCATATGCATTACCCTTGTACCTGAAAAGCATATTTGAAGAAGTATGCCATCTATTATATTATATTTAATATAAGAGCTATTTAACTAATTTAAATAGATTAAAGAGGTGTTTGGATTATTGAAAATGTATTTTTTAAAAACACTTTTATGCAAATCGAGGTAAATTTCTCTACATATTTATTTTGTATACTGTAAAAGTAATTTTAAAACTATAGTTTTGTTTCCACCTAAACACCCTATAAGTAAATTTATTAAGTTAGTTATTTGTAACAAATACAAGTTAAATTTCCTAAAGTATCATTTTAAACATAACTATTTTTAGATGGAAACCCCATTAATATGTATAATCAATAAGAATACTTTAGATAATGAATTATAAATTTGTAAGATAAAGTATATTGAATTCTTATATTTATTATTAAAATAAAGTTCTAATTAGCTCTTATGATAAGAATTGGAAGTAGTATAAAATTACAATGACGTGGGCTTTTAAGATTGATGGGCTTAGACCCAATACTAATTGTCCTGTTTCAACCTATATCTAGATTGTGAAACAAAAAAGATTCCCCTATAAGTATTGATTTGGTCTCAAACATAGGAATGCATGGAGTATAAAAATTTTAAATAAATAGATATTGAACATCAAACTTGAAATATTAAGTTATTCTATTAATTTTTTATTTTATATTGATTTACATAATACGCCTAATTTTTCATTGAAATTAATCATCAAGCATATATACGAGAGCCTTGTTGCATTCAAGGTCACGGCCCTTCAAATATGTAAGAATAACCCTTCAAATTTGTTAAAATTTGTTAACACTTTCATCTACATTTTTCATTAAAATTTGCTCATAAAAAACCCATCACATGCGGGTTTAGCAGTAAGAATCCCACACTCACCAATTAGAGGGAGGGTTTGATTCTCCATCTTAACATTTAAGAAGGCATCCCACACCCCAAGATTGCTGCAATGCCTTGTGTGAGATTAAGACCAATAGCGCCTCTCAAGTGAGGTCATGTAGAATATTGGATTAGATGACTTGCCTTTGACTTAGGTTGAGTCAAAACCCGACCTAAAATGTCATCAAAAAAAAAGGGAAAAAAAAAGAATGACACTACAAATATGTGTGTGTGTGTAAAATAAATTTATAAATTCACCAAACCAACCAAGGTTAACATTGGGGTAATAATAATGCACAAACATTCAGTTCACATCCTACAGATCCAATGTAAAGATTTTATTCGTAGCTAATCAATAATATCTCTTCATAACAGCCTTCTAAGCTTTAATACATGACGAGAAAGAGAGCATATGACAGAGAAGAGACTTACAAAATCCTTAAAAGAAGGAAGAAACCCAAATGGATAATGACGAACAAGGCAACAAAAGAAGGAACAACAGAAGTGGGAACACGTCCCTTGTCTTTTCTCAGAAGCAAGCCTTCAATGATAGGATAGTTCACAACAATGACATACCCAGAAATCAAAATCTGCAGAAACATGTCTTCCCAGTTTCCTTCTTCAAAAACCACCACCCTACACAGTCCTCCAATGAAGCATGAAACGTTGATGGAGAGAAAGGCAAGCAATGGGACGAGAAACATGTGTGAGGTTCTGAAATCGAACATGTCCATTTGGTACAACGTTGTTCTTTGTTCCTTGTCTTGTCCTTCTTCTTCTTCTTCTTTGTTGGTTGGCAAGAAAGTTGACTTTTTCAGACTGAGACTGTTGAGAATAGCATTGAGACATCCATAAAGGTGGCTTGTGGTTGATTTGATCATCCACATTCGCTGTTCGTTTAAGAAGTTCTGGAATGTGCCTCCCGTTGTGAGCACTTCTTGCAAGTGCTTGCATTGTGCTGATAGAAAGATAAAGGCAAAGATGAAGAAATTTGGATCTGAAACCTGCCAAACCAAACAAGAAAAATGGTATGCAAGTGAATTAAAATATTAAGTGAGGGAGAGAGACAAATACGCAAATCTCAATTCATTACCCCAACATGGGAAAATTACTTTGAAGTGCTTAAGAACTAATGTAGGATTAAACTTTATAGTGAAATTACCTAAATGCCCTTAATTTGAAATCTGAACCCCCCCCCCCCAAAAAAAAAGAAATAACAACAACAGTTTAACAAGTAAGAACTTTAACTTATCAAATGACAACTGATTTTACAAGATTTTCTTCCTGAATATCAACGACAATAACCATGCTTGACAGCATCACTGAGGCAGTAACAACTAATTTCACTAATGGCAATTATATCGTCATTTCTCCACCAAGAAAGAAAGAAAGAAAAGAAAAAACTTAATTCCAGGATATAGATTCTAAAATTTTATAGGAATTAAGCCATTTTGAACATCAATTTGAGATTCTCATATTCCGATGGTTCTTATATGTCTTTCTTCCATAAGACATGCTAACAACAATACACCTAATATGTAGTTATGAAAACTACTGTTTGTCGTTACCTTTGGGTACAAGGGGATCCCATGGAGTAAGCAAAGTTGAGGGATAATGGCAAAGCAACATATGGGGAAGAAATAAAGAGGGAAGAGTGCGAGTTCTGCATAACACAAACTCTGAAGTAGAGATATGTTAAAAGGGCCATATATGAGTGGGCAAAACTTGCTCAGTGCAATCTCAATTAAGCCGGAGCTCCATCTTGTTCCCTGAATCAACAAATCATTCAAATTTGTAGTTGCAATTCCCGTAAACTGGGGCTTCGGAGGATTACAGAACACTGATCTCCAACCACTACAGTTCATGAAGAACCCTGTGACCACATCCTCAACTACACTAGCATACAAGAACCCAACCTGCAAGAAATATACATGTTTATGTGTATATATATACATATATATTAGAAAGCAACATGCATACACACACACACACACACACACGCATTATCCTTTCAGTCTAAAGTATAAATATATGTACCTTTTTAGAACATTTTCTTGGTTCATGATATAAGAAACCATGTAGCATTATATAATGGTCTACTTTTTTTTTTTTTTCACGCAAGTTATTTAATGATATCCTTGAATAAAGTGTCATGGATGGAGTTATGTTTTAATTGGTTAGTCACTGACTTAATAACCCTTTACACCACACAATGATAATTGATAATTTAATGAAGTTTACATTGTTTAAATTGATAAGGATAAAAATGGAATCTGAAATTCTTTTTTGATTAGTTTTAGAAGGGAACAGATGCATTGAAAGTATTTTACATTTATTCCTTTCTCCTGTTTTAAATGTAGGAGCTTGATATATAACTAATTTTTAAAGATTAAACAAAATAAGTTAGTAGTTAGTTATTTATAAAAAAGTGTGTTAATTTTCCTAAAATACCCCTTAATAGTAGTTAGTTATTTATAAAAAAGTGTGTTGATTTTCCTAAAATAACCCTTAATCATTTATATTAAAATTACCCTTATTAATAAGAATCCTCTTTTATATGTAAAATCAGTAAGGGTATAGTTGTTTGGCAGACAATGGGGGAGGATGCGCTAATTAGGGTTTGGGTCCCTCGTCTTGTCATTAGAACAAAAATGGGGAAATCGTTTGGAGGAAAGGAAATATTATACATTTAAGGGAATGTATTGAGATATTATACTTAGGAACAAAGTAAATCCCCCAGGTAGATTTTACAATTAGAAGTTTTCAGTGTAAATTCACTATTATTATGAGTGCAATTTCAAAACTTTTTTATTTATCACACACACACACACACGCAATGCATAAATTCAGACAAAATCTGCCCAGCTGGATAAATGAAACAAAGATGTGTACATGTTATATACAAACCTCTTGACCCCATTTGGTGCTCGTTTCATAGTTGCAGGAGGCCAACAACTTGATATCTTGTTGTAACGATTCATGAGCAGTAGTGACAGAAACCAAATGAGGTGTGTAGTTTTTGCTTAGAGATTTGATGAACTCATTGGATGAACCAAATTGCTGTTGAAGTTGAACAAGTTCCATATTATCTAGCATTCAAAAAGAATATAATGTCAAATGAATCAACTCATAGATTTTGGCCCTTGAAATTAAAATAGATCTATTCTTACTACATAATTAATAAGAGCAAGTTTGTTTTACCCTTTAATGGATGCTAAATGGAAGAGTTTCACATACCTTTACTGGTGAAGTTTCCATAAAATGCAGCCCTTTTTGCATAAAAGCAAGTACCAGACAACACTGGTCCTTGAAGGCCATCCATTCCTTGCCATAAAACCTAATTAATCAAATCAAACTTGTCTATAAAGATCCAGTAGTACATAATTATGAAGCAATAATTCATCATGAAGGTCTCTGTGTCTGTGTGTGTGTGTAATATGCTTAACTGTAAATGCAGATCTGAGCTGAGAGTCATATATATCATTTCTGGTGATCCCGCGAAATCTTTGAGGGAACTGAACAAAAGCAAGAGAAGGTGACATGTTGGGATCAAGATGGAAACACATTGCTTGTTTCACTGATGTTGGATCATTGCACATCATGTCACAGTCTAACACCAAGAAATATGGAGCATTGCTCATCACACCTGATACTCGCAGCTGAAACATTACACATATATATTTGCAGAAATTAAGGATTAGAGAGTGTACAAGTGAAGAAAGAGACTCATAAATAATGCCATAATATAAAATTTTGATTCACATATATCATACTCATCGAGGGTTTAATGACAAAGAAAGTTTAATCGATGTATAAATAGCTAGTGTTTGAGACTGCTCTCCACAACCATGTATTAATTGTATTATCATACTTCGAGACGTGTATGAAGATGATGGATTAAAGCAAGGGTTAAGGTTTAATTTTATCCTGAAAGTATTCACTCAGGAGCTGTAGGTATCCGAAAATTTTTTAAGAGTAATGTCCCATGAAAAGTGTTAAAAATGTGGCAATATTGCCCTGCCGTCGTTTAAAGTTTGGTTTGACAGTTAAACGTTCTCTTTTGACCAAGTTATGCAAATGTGTCAAGTTGAGTTGGGAAACCAAAAAAAAACTCCACCTCCACTGAAATCCAAACCCCCCACCTCTCTCTCCCCCCCCCCCCCGGGCTCTCTAAGCTCAGGTTGACTTTAGATGGATTTTGAGAAGTAAAAGTCCAAAGAATCCATGGATATATAGTTTATGGATCAGTATTCTTCACCAAATTGTTCTTCACTCATCTTCCTACTTTCACCAATGATTCAGTCATTCAATTTCAATTGCTTTTTCTTATTACTACTTGTGGTCCTTAACATTAAAACTAGTTAGGAATTGGGTTTGATCTTAAATATAAGATTTCAATTTATTTTATTATTTATTTTTTCTAAAATATCCTTATTAATTGTAAGAGGTTATCACCAAAGGGTATTCCAATCCACATAATTAAAGAAAATAGTTTAGGAAGATCACCATATATTTGTGACAAATAACCAACTTAATTAATTTTTTTAATATCATCAAATTGGTTATCTAGCTTTTATATTAAGGACCGGAGATAGTACGTCCTAAATCTTGGTGCCAACTATTTCTCTGGCAACATCCAGGCCAGCATGGGAAGGTTGAAGGAGCTGAGAAATCTTCAACTTCACTGGTGTGAATTAAACAGCAGTATCTCATATGAAATAGGCGACTTGTCCAATCTTAAATTGTTAAGCCAGTGGGGAAACAAGAATTTGATTGCAAAAATTCTAGATATTGGAGAACTGGTGAGTTTGGTGGAATTGGATGTATCGCAAAATGGCTTTAGTGGGCAAATCCCAAGTGGGTATTTTTGGAAAAGTAAACTATCTGGGGAAATACTTACAAAAATTGGAGCTTTTAATATGACTATACTCAATGTTTCAAACAATATTCTTATTGGAAAAATCCCAAATGGTTTAAGGAAGCTCAACAAGTTAACAGGTTTGAGTTTGGACATGAATCAACTATCAGGAGAGATACTTGAAAGCTTTGCTCATCTACCAGCTCTTGTAGATTTCATGGTTAAAAAAGAAAAAAATTTAACGGTTAACTTTAGATGCGGCAGGATATATTGCTATGTTTTTAACACTTTCAAGATGGTATTATTGCTCCTAAAACACTTCCAAATACTCTCATAACTCCACAGAGAAAACTTGCAGAAAAAAATTGGACCTTAACCCTCAAGATAATTGGAAACTACTCACATTTGTACCCATTTAAAAGCGGGCGCATGAATAAGTAGTAAGAAAAGCATTAATGAAGATTGGGAAAAAGCCCCCCATTAAAAAATTTTATTTGAGATGGATCGAATAAATTTTTATCTACTAAAAGTATCGGTGCCCTACAAAGTTTGTACACCCAAAGTACCAATTTCACCAATAAAATTATTAGTGAGGAGGGTTTTTCCCAAATATTCCAAAACATTATGTCATATAGAAGAGAGATATATAAACGAAAAAGAATCACTTTAGATTTGTGTCACGTGTGGTCAAATGTCCCCCCATGAAAAAATAATAATAATTATGCAAAAATACATAAGAATCAAGATTTTTGAATAGGTGTAACTTGTCTTTAATGATATGAGTCTTTTTCAGTTATGTGTAATACTACTACATTTTTGGGTAGCTTGAATTCATACAATAATTTTCTAATCAAAGATTTTTTTTAACCAAAGAAAATTATAAGGTTTTTTACTCAAGTCAACCACAGTTTTAAAAGTTAAAACTTATATTTTTCCTAAAATTTTTAGCAATTTATATTATCCATAAAATCATACATAAGAGGACAATTTATTTATGACAAATATATATCATAGAAGGGATGGCTTTTTGGAATTTAGAATGATACCAAGACATTGAGGGCTCCAGCCTTGAAATGGTGAGGCTGAGAGGTCTTTTTTTCTCGAGAAACATACACAACCACTGGCAATTTCCCTTTCGCTGACATCTCTTCTGCAGTATTTTCTTCCATCACCTGTCTCTTCAATATCCTTTTTTTCTTCAATCTTTATCTCACCAAATCTAAAGGAAAAATCACTCACAAATCACAATTATAAATTTTTTTTGTAAAATTGCTCACAAATTCCCTATTTCAAAATTTATGGCTAAATATATTTGAAATTTATTTAAGAACCTAAATATATTATATTTTTAGTAGATAAAATATTTTTCCAACTATGTACAACCTATTTTTAGTTATAAAAAATATCTACACATAACTGAAAAATATATTATGCATAGGTGAAAAAGAGTTACACATGCTAAAAAATCTAAATATTAGGTGCAATCAATTTTGTGAAGAGAAATTTTTCAGCAACTTTCTCAAAAACTTTTAAAGTCTCATATTCTTTAACTGTAAATAAATTTAATATATATGAAATGTATTTAGCTATAAAAAGATATGATTAAAATAATTTAATTTTATGAAATTAAGAGTGATTTTCTCCTAAAAAAATTAATTTAATTTTACCTCAATCATAGAGGGGTGATCTTGACTAATGCCAGAGACGTGCCCATCTGTTCTAACTCTCATGATCTCTGCTTTGAAAGCCTTATATTTTTCCTGCCACCCAAGTCAATATCCATATATACACACAAAAACACACACATATCAAGATATTATTATAAGGGGAACACATTAAAAAAAAAATCAGGCATGAGATTTGCAAATCAATCCAAGCACCAAGTTGGTGATGAAAAATTCTTCGGTTACTTCAAAGGGGATTAAGATAACTAAAATATAGTATATTGTATTGAAAATAAAAATTTTAAGATAAAACTTTTCGAATCAAATATGAATTAGGAGGTATCTAAGTGTAAATCAAACTATCATTTTAAAAATAATTTTAGAATATATAAAATAAATATATAAAAAAGTTTTATCTCTAAATACTCCCTCAATGTCAAAAAGCAAAGGATCCAAATTCCCCCCCCCCTCAACACTTAATAATATGTTCATTTAAATGATTACAACTTTAACAAATTTTCACTGAAAAATTTATCAAATTCTCAACTTATTTAATTATCATAAATTCAATCAACATCAAGCACTTCAGTTCACTTCAAATAAATAAATAAATAAATATCAAACAAAGACTCAATAACAACGAACCTTCATGTTCTGCTTTTCTGCAGTTAACTCAATATCTTCATCATCGTCCATCTCAGAAGAAAAGTAAAGCTTAGGGCAACAAGTCTTCACCCTGTATCTTCTGCAGAAGGGAACCCACCACCTTGCGAACCTCCAAGCCGCCCTCAGTCCACTTAAAGTCTCCGGCGACCCGCCATCATCGGAGAGATAAACATGAAGCTTTTCCGGTGGGTAGTCAAGAGCCATGGCAGACAAAACAGTGTTCATAACTTGCTCAGTAGGCTCCTTACTTGGGTCTGTAGTAAAAATGAACACATCCAAAGCAGGAAGCTCGTCGCCGGCGGGCAATCTTTCCGGGAACGTCGTCCGGACAACGGGACGCCATCGGAAGCCTATGCCGAGGAGCCAGATGAAGGAGAGGATGGCTTCTGATAAGAAGATGAGAAGGAAGGGAAAGAAGGTGGTTTCATGGAGGAAGGAGGAGGAGGAGGCTCTGTAATAGAATAAGAAAGCTAAAGAAGTGGAATGGAGGATTGTGTGGAACCTGTTGATGAAAGCTTGAAGCTTCCGGACATGGCAAAGGTTGACAGGATGAGAGCCTTCCATTTGGATATCGCTATGTTGTCACCGATGTGGTCTCCCTCTATTGGAGGAAAATTTAAAGGGTGGCCGGATAGAATCCAAAATAATTTTATAATTTATGTGCTAGCTATAAAAACTAGTTAATTAATTTAAATAGATTAAAAAATAAGTTAAATTAGTTACTTGTAATAAATAAGTATTATTTTTTTTTTAAAATATTTTTATTAACCAAGTATATTGGTTAGAACTATTAATATCAGAAGAATTATCTTACAAAAATTAGATAAATATAAAAAATAAAATGAATTAGAATCTTATATTTAAAAATAAAATAAAAAATCAAAATTTTATATTAAGAATTGCGGACAGTATAAAGTGAATATATAAGGAAATTTGTTTTGATTAGTGTCCAATACTGAAAACCTCTTGGGACCTGGGCGACTGGGTACTGACCTGCTCTTCAGACATTATGGCAAGTAGTGTCTAGAAATGTCATGTAATTCCCTTTTTTTGTTTTTTTCCAGACAATAGTGTTCCAGATGGGTAAATTTTGACTCAGGAGTTAGGACTTGATCATCCCTTAATTATTGTGTAGTTTTGAAGTCTAGTTTAGAATTAAATGTTGGATAAGATATTTAGTTAACTTTTTAAAAGTAATTTTATCGCATACTAGAAATAGACATGTAGTAAAAATTGTGTTTCTGACTTACATAAAAATATTTTTTACATAACTTTTAAGGTTGCTAAACTCTCCCTTGATGATATTATTTGTTAAAATGTTGTTGTTATCTCATTTTTTTCTCTTTTCAAATTAAAGTCATTTAAGTAGATTTATACAAAAATTTAATATCAAACTTGTCCATAGACATTTCAAAATGATTTGGCAATTTTGGGGTCCTGAATTGAACAGGCGCATTTGGTGATACCTTTTGTCTTTCTCTATTATCTTGTCTTTACTTTCTAGAATTTCTCTTTAGTTATATTTAGTTTTCAAACCTTTTAATGAATGTTATTAATTGAAAAAAATGGCCGAAAAATGATTTTTGAATTTCAAAATCTTTAAATGGCCATTTAAATAAATAAAATTTTTGTTTAGGTATAGGTCACCAAATTGATATTTGAAATTTACTGAAATGACCATATTACTCTGTTTTTTTTAAAAAAAAATACTAATCACCTTTACCGATATCTATATCTAAACTGGAATTTTGTTTATTTAAGTGATCATTTGAGGATTTTAAAATTTAGGAATAATTTTCTGTGATTTTCCCTTATTAATTTCAGGAGAATTATTGTCAATTTTTATGGTAAAAGTTGTTAAACTTTAAAGAATAATTTACCAAAATTCAAAGAACAGTTTGTAAATATTTAGGAAACATATCTATTCGAAAAATATGTCAATTACAAAATGTCAAATTCAAAATATAACTTGTCAATATTTTATACTTCAATATGGTATACCGATTGAAGTTTAAAAATATTTGGGTGAAGAGGGTGTTGTAACTTTTTAAAATATTTAATGAGATTTTACACTAAAAAAATGTTTGATGGAAAGAGAAAAAGCATTTTGGTATTTCCGTATTTATAATTGCGCAAGCTATAGGAAGATAAAGCTTACAAAGCATATTGTCAAGTTGTGGGAAAATGTGATTAAATATAGATTGAGATTGGATTTGAATTTCGGAAAATCAATTTGGGTTCATAGCGGAAAGATCCACAATAAAAGTAATATATTTATTAAAGGTGTTAATGAAAAAGTACCAAAGCAAATAAAAAGACTTGTAGATAGTTTTTATTGATTTAAAAAAAGCTAATAACGGCATGCCAAGAGATGTTCTTGGGATGTCCTTGGAAAAAAAAGAAAAAAAAAAAAGAAAAGGAAGGTGCATGTTGTACATATTAATGTCATGCAACATGTACAAAGAGATAACAACTACCGCTAGAATACCTGAAGGTGAGACAAAAGGCTTTTTTATAAAGATCAGTTTATATCAAAGTCATCTTTGAGCCTTTACTATTTTTTTTTGGGCCAGAAAAGACATTATATTAAACAGAAAACCAGTACACCTCAAAAGTCCAAGATAACTGAAACAAAAAAAAAACCAGCAAAAACAACAAAAGACAGAAACTGGAAACAACAATCTTCCAATACCAAAACAAACGAGAATAGAAACTGTAACATAGCCGTCTTCCAATGCCAAAAGGAGCTCTAGTACTCTTCCAATGGAGTAAAGAAAATCTTCAAGACAACACAAAAGGTAAGCAGTAAGAACTGTCCAAATATTCATCCAGAAGAGCCATAAATCTAATAAGAGAAAAACTAAGACTTGGGAGTTTAAAACCTAGCCATAAAGGCCACGAAACCAACTCCTTAGTTTAATCCAAAAAGCTAGGTTTCAACACTGAGCAACATTTTCCATAAGAGATGTGTGCTCAAGAAGAAAGCTCCACCTCCTACAGCATAGTTGAGCATAGTCAAAATCAAGAACTAGGAGCTTTTTATCCTCTAAATTTCTAGTCCACCAATAACTCATCATCCAAACCGTAGAAAAAACAATCCCTACTATCTCATTAGTCCATTTTAAGATCAAACAAAAAACAGAGGCGTCCAGGCAGTACCCACCATGCATCATCCTTAATTTTCAATGAAGCTCTACTGAAAACCATAAGGAGGCTAAACAGTTCACAAAACTTCTAAAACCACATCACTCCAACAACGCTTGATGCGACAAAAATAGCTGAGCTAAAATCAAATCTCAAATTAAAATCAATCTTCTCAAAGTCACCCCTGTTATGATAGGAGAGAAGACTAAAGCCCCAAATAACTCTTAACAAACTTGTAGTAAGCATTAGCTCAACTAAAATTAAAGGTTTAAACCAACAAAATCAAAACTATCAACACCTATGGTTGTAATTTCAGACAAAATCCTCACGTGCCAAACTCATCGAGAGGCATAAATTAGAGCAAATAGCACAACGCATAGAGAAAATCCAGCAATTAAACTACACAAGGAATCTACAATGAGGCTTTTAGAAGAAGAAGCAGAGTTTTTTACCTCACAGGGCCTTGATAGTTGCGTTATGCTCATATCTCCACCACAAGATGCCACACCTTACGTTTAAACTTCATTTGATCTCAATTAGAACCATTTAGAATCATTTATTATTATTCAACATTGGAAAAATTTAAACTTTCAAATTTCTTGGAATTCGGGTTACTATTTATTGTAACTCTTATAAAGACGAAATTTTGAAAATTTATAACTAATTCTAAAATAATTGAAACAAGATGGTTCTAATTTTTCTGGAAAGATCTTGACATGCTCTTTAAAAAAAAAAAACTCATTGGCATCCAAAACTCATTCATTAATATTAAATTTCCTTCAAAGTGGTACTATTTATTTGGTAAATTTTTAATTTTTTAAGATTTATGCCCAACTTTTGGAGGGTATAACTTTCTGTACAAAACTTTAAATTTGATGCATTATTACTTGTTTTAAAGCTAAAAAAAAGATCTATAAGCTTGCCAAATTTCAATTCCGAACTCAACCAATTATTCCAAATGTCATTGGTCAAATTTTATCCCTAGAAAGTCAATTTTTATCCCTTTAAGTTATCATGTTTGATTTTTCTTTCCTTTTCAGTTCAAATCATCAATCCACTCATACTTTCAATACTAAAGCATGGCTTTTGAGTAAATGTTCACATACATACTATCCTTAATTATCAACATAAACATTCAAAATAATTTACAATAATCTCCAATAATTACAAACATTGTTTAAAGAGGCATATTAGTTAATTTTCTCCCAAAATGACTTCCTTCCCTTTATCTTTGCTTGGTCCAACTCCTAGATGGTGAAATTTAAACATAAAGAGTGAGATTTCATAAAAATCTCATTAGCAAAGAACCATAATCATCATGCAATTTATGCTATATAAAAATGTGACATGTGTACATAAAATCAGCATCATTATGCAACATTTCATGTGAGTACCATTCGCTATGGAAAGAGAGCAATTAATCAAGCTATTAAGTCATTCCTCACATATATTGCTAAGACACATTCACATATAGTTTCATATATAATCACATAGTTTGCTTAATCACATCATGGCAACATAAATCACATAACACATATACATTCAAACAAGCAAGAAAGCAATCAAATTATGAGTTTAACGCTACCTTTTGGTTGATGAATCAATCCAGCCTCTTTGAGAATATTGGATTCCTCTTTGATTTCTTGCAATGTGCCTATCATTCCAAGCATAAATGTATTTCAAATTACCAATAATTCAAGCATAAACACTCATGCTTGATATTAAGCTCAATTAAAACCCATTTTTCCTTGATTTTTGACATAATTATTTCTTTTTTTTATTTCAATCAATCTTTTAGACCATTCCTACACAATTTTTCATGTAAAAGTCAAATATCAAATTAGATTTTATAAAATCACGTCCCTTCCTTTCCATTTCAACTTGGCCGAATAGGGTAGTATTACTTTCCATAATTTTCATTTTTTATTCTAATAATTTTAAATACTTTTTCTTGGTGTTTTCCTACACAAAAGCATCTTTTGAACTCATTACAATAATCAAAACATAGCAAAACAAACTCCTACCCTAAGAATTTACTGTGGCCGAAATGTGTGCTTAAGGACCCTAACTTGGTTTTCTTTCAAAAATTAATCCAAGTACCATTTAAATATGATAATTTCAACTCATTTTTAAGGCTTCTATCCTTCCCTAAGTCATGCTTCACTTGACCGAAATATGACAGCACCACAACCTTAGATGGCAACTTAAATTTCTAACCATAACAAGCCTTAAACTCAACCAAAATAAAGTTCAAACTTACCTTGATAAATCCTTGAACAAAGCTTGGTGTCTCCTCCTTCAAATGCACTATCTAAGGCTCATTTCTAAGCTCAAGAATTCAGTTTGGCAGCACCTCCCCTTTTTTGTCAATTTTTGGCCAATTTAGTGTAATTGGGGGGTATTTATACAAAAATGTTCTGACCTTCCTCCCCTCACATGTGGCATGTTAGGCT